GGGGGGAGGGTGTATTTTTATTCGACAATGACAAAGTGGTGAGTACTAATGTTTTCAACGTGTGAATTGAACCCAGGTGCTGAAATCATTGCAGCCTGGCCGATTTATTGTGTCAAACGGTGAAAAAAGCGTCTGAAGATGTCTCCAATGCAACGTATCCTGCAGTCCTGTAAACTTTGACTGGACTTGTATATCTAAACTGTGCATACCTGTCGGGGGAGGGTTGCATTGGACATTTTTCAAACACACACTGTTATTCTTCAAACTGGCAGATACATGCATCCTGACGACCTTATGTTGATTGAAATTACTAGATCTAGTATTTAGACCCGAAACGAATTTATCGTCGATATATATCTATTCAAATGACCGTATATATGAAAATTTAGCCAAGAGGCATGATGATGAGAGGCGAAGTTTGCAAGTCTATGAGTTATTGCCTGTGACACAACCCCTTCACCTTACGACCTGGTGACTAAAAAATACACCCCCGGGGAGTAAATGGACACGTCTGATGATGGAGACATTTTCCACATTCGGCGGTATGGTACAGCAACCTATAAAGGATTGAAATTTACTTAGTTAAAAATTCCCAGCATATTTCAATAAAAAATCTAAAATTTTGTCATTGGAGAATGGCCACTCGTAAGATTTATTGTTGTTTATTTATTGACAAGCGTTGAAATGACCTTGTGGCAGAGCCCGTAAAGGTCATGTTCAGGTGACTGAAGTTAATTCCCTGTCAATTAACTGTCACTGTAGAAATCTATAGGAACTAGGGGCCTGGTTAGGACTACGTATGTGTAACGTTTTACTTTATCACATGATACCAAAAAGGACGAAATCTTTATGGGGAAGACTTTGCATGTTTTACCCAAACAAGGTAACGTTATGGTACACAGGAAGGGTTTTTGCGAAGTGTTCCGCATGTCTGTAATGCTGACGTATGTAACGTATGTGGGCGGTTGATTCATGATGGAATTATTTTTTTTTTAAATTTAGGAGCACATTTTCCCCATTCTTGCTGGTGACTGTGGTGAGGGTCGTGGAGCGTACCAGCCAGCAGCTCCAATGTTGTTTGGTGTTTGTGCTTCGCTAAGTAAAAGCTGTTTCATCCCAACACTCTGGACCAGTAATTATTGCAATGATTTCCCCAGCGCGACACCCGTGGCTCTTCTATCTGTGTCTGCCTACTGTTGTCAAGTCGTGTTACTCCGCTCACTAATAACCGAGCAGATACACGTGCTCCTTTTTCTTGCTCCTGGCGGGACACAGGGTACTCCAACGACCCTTCTGACGACGTGTAATACGTAGTTATTGTGTAATCAGCAGAATTCAGAAGGAAATAGATCATGCGATGTACCTCTGACGGTATATCGACAATGACACTGTGATTCTCCCGGAGTCTCAGTATTCTATCCGGCGGGAAATCTAACCCCAGTCTTGTGGTTTTCCTTTCCAGACGGGACCAATTGGAAGGTGAACAAGAAGGGGAGACTGAGGACCAAGAGCTGCCGGGGTGGTGTCAGCGTTCACGGGCTCCCTATCCAGGTCAGGCCGTCAACACACGCTATAATCCATAGCAGGTGGAGCAAGGGTCATACGGTTGTGTCTAGCGTATGTCTGTGTGGTGGTTGGAGGAATATCGATACCTTGTTTGATTGGGTTTACAGAAGTGTCGTTGAGCCGCCGTCACATATGTCGTACACTAGTGTCTTGTCGAAGAACTTCCAGAGAGTCTGTGACTAAACCGACCGTCGGCAAGGATCTACGACACAGCTGAATGTTGTACGACGCGTCCACGACTGTCGTACGAATTGGTCCCGATTTGCTGTCGTAGACGTGCCTGCTGTACGACGTATATGACAGGGCTCTTAGGCAATCGGTGCCATTATATTGTTCCGAAGCAAATAATTGGCCGTACATCTGCTTTAATTTTTTGGTAAGCTTGCATATAGCGATACCCATTTCCAACCACTCCCTAAAGTCAAATGGTGCGTCCCCAATCTCCCCAACATCACCCTTGTATATATTTTTGTGTATAAGCATATATCAAAACCATATTCCCAAGAGAAATGACCCCAACGGTGTGCACAGAAAATTATGAGAATAATTCTCCTAATCTCCAAGCAGATGTTAGCGTAACAGACCGTAACCTTTTCTGGCTGCCGGGCTATTTTGGCAGACTCCCAACCCCAACAGCTGCCAGAGAAGCCCGGAAAAACCAGAAAACTTTACGATCTTTCCCCTCCCAACATCTGCTTGGAGATCAGACGTCTCCATCCTGACGTATATCATGTATATTGTGACCTGGACCATTGAGTGCAGCCAATTCGTCATGGAAGAACGCTGCAGAAGAATGTGTATGAACAAGAACCAAGCTTTGTGTAAGAAAAGTCTTTTGACTTAAGACGTGAAATATGGTCGTCTGAGAGTGGAGAAATTGGGGATCTCTCGTTATTGTAAGCCCAAAGCCATGGTCGTGAACTCGCGACGGGCGTGCCAGACCGGGAAGAATGCGAGTGTGAACTCTTATCTGGAAATACCTCAGAAAACGTCTGAAAGTGGCCAGCGGGGAGAACCTTTACGGACCTTTTTAATACAGAGGGTCTGCATGGGGGGATCCTGGTAACATTTAAAAATTAAGAGGACGGGCCACGCTTAGTGGTAAATTCAGGAAGGCCAGAAAATTAAATAGTTCTTGCGACAAGTTTTCGACCTTGCATTGTTTTTTGTGTGTGTTCATGGGATGTCTAGCATGCAAAGCTTGTCTGCGGACACAGACACAACTGAATACTCCGTTGTGACTTCTTGGGTAATTTGGCGTTAGATAACAAAGCTGCCAATTACGCTTCACGAATGATCAACTGCTTTATTTTTAGAGTGGACTGGCTACAATTAACGGTGAATCAAAATAACTCGCAACGCCTCACGGAAAAAGCCATGCAGACCCTCTTAGGTCCTTTTAGGCTTTAATGGCCCATTACAGTCTAATCAAAAACAAATCGAACGGAAGTAGACTTTCACATATCCTTAATATGTATCAGCAAGGACGTTTTATAAGCTCTTTGGTGTCAGCACGAAGCTGTAGACCGTCTAGCAAGTATCATCACATGGGTGCCAGACTCACAGCGCACTAGACCCAAAGTTATCTAGCGTTATACTAGTTCAAGCCGATGATCCTCCTCCAGTGAACGGGGGATGATCCCAACAGCAGTAATCCCACGGATGTCATTCGTAATCCGTACCTTTTGAAATTTCACCAAGATCAGCCCCCACCCCCACCGACCTTTCGACAAAAATCCCTTGTGTTGTCTAGACCGGACTTCCTAGAGTAGAGCCCGGAACAGATGACATTCAGTCGTGTCCCATCAGTTGGCCTGAATACCGATGCAACACGACACCTGGACCCCCTGCAGTGGGCTGACCATCCCATCATCCTAACTCTACTCGTAAACAAACGCGTGTCCCCAAACATCATATCACAACAACAGATTAATATCGCAACTTTTCCCCGATGTATCAACACTTGTAACAACACACCCCGCCTGTTTATGAAGATTTAAGCGTATTTGGTCCCCTTGTTCTGGCCCCGTAGCGAGGCTGCCGGTAATTAAAACCGCCTTCCCCGCCTGTAACCTCTGCGTTAGCGCGCCCGGGTTGGTGCTCGGGTTCCCGGTCCTCCAGTCAGTGCTCGTGTCTGGCCAGGCTCGCACAGCTACAGATACTTTTTCTTGGCGCCCAGCCATGCTGCCTGCAAAGTACCTGTACTTCACAGTAACGCTGCTTCTGACTCTCACACTTCAGAGCGACGGCGATGTCAGGCTGAAGGAGGAGGGTCTACAGGACACCGGTAAGTCCTCCACAAAACCGTCTTCTTCCTTTGTCTCCTCATACGTGGCATAGCCTAGCTCTGTTTGTCTCTCAAAGCGTTCAATCAAAATATGGCGATATCGACTCTCTAGACTCAACGACAACTCTTTTTCATATCTCCTCACTTCTTATGCTATCACATACATAAATGTTTGTTTATGAAGTTGAAACTGAAGAAAATCCATACCTGACAATGTATGCAAGGAAGCAAGCGATTCACATTTTTCATATTTTTCCTCAGATGGCGTCGAGGCATCGAAGCAGTCGCCGCCACTACCTACAGACATTCTCGGTATGTGTGCCTTCTTACGAGCACGAAAGCGTTTTTATCACTGTATAAACGTTTATCGAAGGTCACCACTTCCGTCTTGTTGCATAGTCTTTGATCAGAAATTTTTGTTTAGAGTCTTGCATGAGAAGCGTCAGGGTTAGTTAGGTTTTACCACAGTTGACAGGCGGCCCACCGTTCAACGTCCTTTCATCGTGGCCTTTACCCCATCATTTTCTGCCAGTAGATGTTATAAGAATGGTGTTTGATTTTAAACACGGTCTATAATGCTTTTCCGGATACGTAACTGGTCAAAGATGTCAATTTACATAGTCTTTCATCCGTACAAAAGACGCTGCTTCGGTCCTGTTCTGTTCACGCGTCGATATTGGAAAACTCAATCTTTCACCAGGCTCTCTTGTTGGTCTCGTCTGGATCTCTTCTAAATTTTTGAGACCAAACACACCAACGTGACTGTCTTTTATAATTATTGCTCCCAGCATGAAACAAGCGTCTCCAAACAAGTTAGGAAGCTGCATCGGATGTTGATATGTCTCAAAGGCAGATCTAGCCTCACTTATCGGTAAAGCGGTCCGGTTTTTCTGGACTGACTATGAAATAGCGGGCCAGTTGACAAGTGGTCGGGTAAAGAGGTAAAATACTAGTAGTAGGTAAAACCATCGGACGTGACGAAACGTGTACTGAACCGAGGAGAATCATGCTGACCACTACAAGCGTTAACGGTCACCTAGTGGTCTCACTATTGTGACTGTCCAAGGGCGCCTGGGGTGTTCGTGGGCCGGAGCTCCCAAAATGGCCTCCCCTGGGAACGGAGCTTTAGCTGAAGATAAACATCTCTAGGAGAGAAAGTCGACGTCCATTCGATTCGTTCTGATGCTTGGATGGTCAGCTCGTCTAATAAAGTGCTCCCGGAAAAAAACTTTAGACTGACCACATTGACCAGGTCACCAGGGCACTGGACGCTAAAAATACAAGGTCTCGTGCGAGGGTTCTGTTAGGCCGCTAGTCTTTGGACATTCGCCAACCTATTTACGAGATGGAAGTCCCGAAAACTGTTACGCTTTCTTTTTGTTCTCAGCCATTTTCCTGCGTTATCCACTCACTTGTGTTAGCATTGTTAATCAATTCATCCTGGAAGCAACAATTAAATGGCATTGGAATTTCTACCTTATTCCTAAATATCTTTGGGTGAACTTGTGCCACTAAATAGTTTCTCAGCTCGATATAAATGAGCTCCGGGGATGACAAGCTGAGCCTGAGATATTTTCCCCTTTTCCCGCTAATTAGACCCAGCCGGACATCATCTGTCAACTTAGTATGCACTTTAGTAGGCCATGCCTGGAGGGTTCTCATCCAGCCAGATAGCCTGGATAACAGACATCTTTGTAGGACGGGTGAATGACCGCTCAGCAAGAAAAAGTAATCTGCCACTATCTGTGTACCACGTCCGGGATCGAGGTTACGAAGCCTAACAATTTTCGAACAACAACTGTTTAAACACCCGATGGACGTTATGAAGAAGATAGCCTGGATAACAGACCCTCCATCAATGAGAGGCAATCTGCGAAAGATGATTGGTATCCAGGTTACGAACATTATCAATGACATACACCAATTATCTCGATACATCTACAATGCCCTTGGCCATACTTATTTATCCGAAGAATCTTCGATTTAAGAATTGTCTAAACACTCCTTGTGCGTTTTCAAGAAGGACATATTTCCTAAACTACTTGAGACGCAGCTACGGGGTGACACCTTGAACTGTAGACCTCTAGGTACTGAAAAACAATGAGGGTAATAAATTCTCGCCCTTACAAGATGGCGGTCCTATTGTATTTCAGAAGAAGACGAATACGAACATTCCGACGAAACGACACTTGATTGAATTTTGTTCTCCAGCCAATTGACACCGTTAGGATCTGTCCTCGAAACACCTGCTTAGAGATGACAAAAGTAGGTTCCCTTTGACGAATATCGTCTGGGGTTCTAGCGGTCCATTCTCTAAAGAGAAGTCAATCCCATTACCCAGGCCGGAAGTACACCAAGGTGAAGCTAGCCGGCGTTTCAGCCTTCGATTCGTAGCCGGCGTTACAGCCGGCGTTTCGCCGCTAGATGGAACATAGCAACTGATTCGGGTACCGATTCGAAAACCCAAAAAATCAGTAATTTAGCCAAAAAATATGGCAGATGAACTTGAAAAAAGCGTTATGATAGCTTATTACATCACAAGTCTACTACAAGTTTCAGATTTTACCTGCCGGATTTAATTAGGCCGTTGACAGCGGGCCTAATTAGGCATAAGAGATATGTGTACTCAGCAGTTATAGCTGCACCAAACTGAACGTGGCCTTTACAGACGGATTACGGTAGTCAACAACCAAGACTATATACACTAAAAGTATCAAATTCAATGGGTCGGATTTGATTAAGGAGGCACAAGGGTATACTTACGTATGATCGATAGGGCAGAATTTCAAATCTTACGCCATCTGAGTGGGCTGCTGGAAAGGGTATAAAGTGTATCTGCCGTCTAACAAAATGTGGCCCGTTAAATTCAAAGATTGATACTTGTAGCCATACACCTACTCTATGTCCTAAAGGTATGAAATTCAACGGGCTGGATTTAATTACCGAGGCACGACGGTACTTAATGAGTATGACAGGGCAGAATTTCAAATCTCCCGCCGCTTTTACATACATACAAAGTTCATTGTCTATACCGAACTAAACGTGGTCCACTAACTCAAAAGTCGGATTACGATAGTCAAACAACCAAGACTATAGGCTAAAAGTATCAAATTCAACAGGCCGGATTTAATAACGTGGCAGGATGGTACTTAATGAGTAAAAGAGGGCAGAATGTTATATCACCCGCCGCGTTTATTGTCTGCTCCGAACTAAACGTGGCCCGCTAACTTTAAACAAGGATTACGATAGTCATCAACTAAGACTTTATACTAAATGTGTAAAATTCAACGGGCCGGATTTTAATTAAGGAGGCACGACGGTACTTAATGACCATGAGAGGGCAGAATTTCAAATCTCCCGCCACGATGCACTGTCTACAACAAACTAATGCCGGCTAGCCAAACTAAACGTGGCCCGCTAACTTTAAACAAGGATTACGATAGTCAACAACTCAGACTTTATAATAAATGTGTAAAATTCAACGGGCCGGATTTA